CACTGGGCGTCCGCTGGCGGTCATGTTGCCCTGAACTCAAGCAGGCCTTCGCACGGGAGACTTCAGGACGCCTCCAGGCGCCGTTCGGGACCTCCAGAAACCCTCCTGGGCAGTCTTCGGGGCCTCTTGGAACCCTCTTGGATTCCTTTGGCCCCTCCTTGGGGCTTCCCGGGGCCATCTGGGACCTCTCCGAAGCCTTCTTCGAGGCATGCTCCGCAGAAAAACCGAGGAAGCCAAAAACCTTCAAAAGCCCTAGGGATTCTGATGATTTTCGCCATTTCGGCCCTCTCTTTGCGCCTCTTGGAGCTCTCTTGCAGCATCTTGCGCCACTCTTGGGGCCTCTCCGGCCACGTTGGAATATCTACCAAGGCCTCCCGGGTCGTCCGGTCGTCCTGAAGGTCTCCCAGTCACATCTTCGGCCGTCTGGCCGCCCTTTTGGAGCCTTCTTGGGCCGTCTTCGCTGCGCCCGGGGAGCCCCTGGAGAGCCTTCTGAGGCCCCAAAAACTAGTCGCAGTGCTCCTTTCTGCCTCTCCGTATCACTCTTCGGTTCGCTCCGCTGCTTTTGATACCTTCGGGTGCCCTTTTGGGCCGTCTTCCGAGCCTGCTCGGGCCTTGTAGTCACATTGTTGGACCCTTCTCCGCGTCTTTTTCGACCCTCAGGGGCCCTCTCCGAACCCCCTGGTCGCCCTCTGGCGCGCAAATTCAATGGGATTTCCGGAGACCCTCTGGGGTCGTCTTCGATTCCCGCCCATCCGGCACTCTGGTATCTTCCCCTTCGCCATGTACGCCTCCCTCCTGGTCCTACTCCACCCCCTCCGCCTTCGCATATGAATGGTTGTCGTCTCTGGAGCCTCTTGCCTACCTCTTACGCCGCCTTCCGAGCCTTTCTGGGCCCTCTGCGGTCGCCATGACCCCCCCCCGCAAAGAAACTCTGGGTTCCGGAGAAAAGTGGGGCGGTGGTGTCTGCTCCCTCAAGGGCGCTCAACTTAGTAATGATGGTTACGGTCGCAACATGGCCACAAGAGCGGTGGTCAAGAACACAAGCCTCCTCGCATGAGGCCAACGGCCAGATAACCAAAACGAAGCACATTCCAAGGTAGATAATCTAAACACGATTACTCCGACGGAATGACCCCACATGAAAATCCCTTGAGCGACTCTGGAAAGAACCTTCACTGTCGTTCGGGCCCCATAGGGAGAGGGCTCCCGACTGAGACTTCCTCACAATTCACTCACAGACGAACCTCCCGCCTGATACTTCCCCCATGTTCTGGCCTCACAAGCCCAAAAATGACGACAATTATAAATTCAAGATGACCCGCTCGGCTTGCAAACATGAAATGCGGGCCCCACAGGGAGAGGGCTCCCGCCTAAGACTTCCTCACAACTCACTCACAGACGAGCCTCCCGCCTGATACTTCCCCCACATTCAGGCCTCAAAAGCCCCCCAAAAAATACGACAATTACAGGTTCGAAGATGACCCGCTCGGATTAAAAAACATAAAATGCAGGCCCCCTAGGGAGAGGGCTCCCGCCGGAGACGTCCTCACAGTTCACTCAAAGGCGAGCCTCCCGCCTGATACTTCCCCCATATTCTTGCCTCAAGAGCCAAAAATGACGACAGTTACAAGTTCGACGATGGCCCGCTCGGATTCAAAACATGAAAAATGCGAGCCCCATAGGGAGAGGGTTCCCGCCTGAGACTTCCTCGCAGTTCACTCAAAGACGAGCCTCCCGCCTGATACTTTCCCCATTTTCAGGCCTCACGAGCCCAAAAGTGACGACACTTACAGGTTCGAGGATGACCCGTTCGGATTAAAAACATGAAGTGCGGGCCCCATAGGGAGAGGGCTCCCGCCTGAGACCTCCTCACAATTCACTCACAGACGAGCCTCCCGCCCGATACTTCCCCCAGATTCAGGCCTCGAGAGTCCAACAGTGACGACAATTACAGGTTCGAAGATGACCCGCTCGGTTAAAAAAATTAGCCTGGCGAAGGACCCAACCATATGCAACTGTGAATACCGCAAGTGTGAATATCGTTTTCGGCGGCGCTACCTCTGGGTAGTGGAGACGCATGCGAACACCCCCACTGGGGCCTTCGGTGGAGCTCCCTATGGGGCTACGAAACGCTGCCCTGGGTGGGGGAACCGCATGCAGGCAGCCCCACTGGGGCCTTCGGTGAAGCTCCCTGTGGGGCCACGAAACGCTGCCCTTGGTGGGGGAACCGCATGCGGGCACCCCCACTGGGGCCTACGGTGGAGCTCCCTCTGGGGCTACGAAACGCTGCCCTGGGTGGGGGAACCGCATGAGGGCACCCCCACTGGGGCCTTCGGTGGAGCTCCCTATGGGGCTACGAAACGCTGCCCTGGGTGGGGGAACCGCATGTGGACACCCCCACTGGGGCCTTCGGTGGAGCTCCCTATGGGGCTACGAAACGCTGCCCTGGGTGGGGGAACCGCATGTGGACACCCCCACTGGGGCCTTCGGTGGAGCTCCCTATGGGGCTACGAAACGCTGCCCTGGGTGGGGGAACCGCATGTGGACACCCCCACTGGGGCCTTCGGTGGAGCTCCCTCTGGGGCTACGAAACGCTGCCCTGGGTGGGGGAACCGCATGCGGACACCCCCACTGGGGCCTTCGGTGGAGCTCCCTATGGGGCCACGAAACGCTGCCCTGGGTGGGGGAACCGCATGTGGACACCCCCACTGGGGCCTTCGGTGGAGCTCCCTATGGGGCCACGAAACGCTGCCCTGGGTGGGGGAACCGCATGTGGACACCCCCACTGGGGCCTTCGGTGGAGCTCCCTATGGGGCCACGAAACGCTGCCCTGGGTGGGGGAACCGCATGTGGACACCCCCACTGGGGCCTTCGGTGGAGCTCCCTATGGGGCCACGAAACGCTGCCCTGGGTGGGGGAACCGCATGTGGACACCCCCACTGGGGCCTTCGGTGGAGCTCCCTATGGGGCCACGAAACGCTGCCCTGGGTGGGGGAACCGCATGTGGACACCCCCACTGGGGCCTTCGGTGGAGCTCCCTATGGGGCTACGAAACGCTGCCCTGGGTGGGGGAACCGCATGTGGACACCCCCACTGGGGCCTTCGGTGGAGCTCCCTTTGGGGCTACGAAACGCTGCCCTGGGTGGGGGAACCGCATGTGGACACCCCCACTGGGGCCTTCGGTGGAGCTCCCTATGGGGCTACGAAACGCTGCCCTGGGTGGGGGAACCGCATGTGGACACCCCCACTGGGGCCTTCGGTGGAGCTCCCTATGGGGCCACGAAACGCTGCCCTGGGTGGGGGAACCGCATGTGGACACCCCCACTGGGGCCTTCGGTGGAGCTCCCTATGGGGCCACGAAACGCTGCCCTGGGTGGGGGAACCGCATGTGGACACCCCCACTGGGGCCTTCGGTGGAGCTCCCTCTGGGGCTACGAAACGCTGCCCTGGGTGGGGGAACCGCATGCGGACACCCCCACTGGGGCCTTCGGTGGAGCTCCCTATGGGGCCACGAAACGCTGCCCTGGGTGGGGGAACCGCATGCGGACACCCCCACTGGGGCCTTCGGTGGAGCTCCCTATGGGGCCACGAAACGCTGCCCTGGGTGGGGGAACCGCATGTGGACACCCCCACTGGGGCCTTCGGTGGAGCTCCCTATGGGGCTACGAAACGCTGCCCTGGGTGGGGGAACCGCATGTGGACACCCCCACTGGGGCCTTCGGTGGAGCTCCCTATGGGGCTACGAAACGCGTGAGAGGTGTGCCGAGAGCAGAGGCAAGGAGGGGGAGGAGGGCGAGGAGGAGGAGAAACGCGGGGCACCGTCTCTTCAAAACGAGGACCCAACACCACAGGATGGTTGGGAACAAGAAGTGCTACTCCCCTACATTCAGGTCAAAGGAGTTCAAACTTGACGACAGTCACAAGTTCGAGGTTGACCCGCTCGGCGTAAAAACATGAAATTCTGGCCCCATAGGGAGAGGGTTCCCGCCTGAGACTTCCTCGCAATTCACTCACAGACGAGCCTCCCGCCTCTTCCTCTATATTCAGGCCTCACGAGCCCCAAAATGACGACACATACAGGTTCGAGGATGACCCACTCGGCTTGCAAACATGAAATGCGGGCCCCATAGGGAGAGGGCTCCCGCCTGAGACTTCCTCACAATTCACTCACAGACGAGGCTCCCGCCTGATACTTCCCCCATATTCTTGCCTCAGGAGCTCAAACGTGACGACACTTACAGGTTCGACGATGGCCCGCTCGGATTAAAAACATGAAATGCGGGCCCCATAGGGAGAGGGCTCCCGCCTGAGACGTCCTCACAATTTACTCACAGACGAGGCTCCCGCCTGATACTTCCCCCATGTTCAGGCCTCAAGAGCTCAAAAATGACGACACATACAGGTTCGAGGATGACCCGCTCGGATTACCAACATGGAGTGCGGGCCCCATAGAGAAGGGGCTCCCGCCTGAGACGTCCTCGCAATTCACTCACAGAGGAGGCTCCCGCTTGAGACTTCCTCCAACGCCAGGCCTCAGGGAGCCAAACGTGATGACAATTACAGGTTCGAGGATGACCCGCTCGGATTACCAACATGAAGTGCGGGTCCCATAGGGAAGGGGCTCCCGCCTGAGACGTCCTCACAACTTACTCACAGACGACGCTTCCGCTCGAGACATCCTCCATATTCAGGCTAGGGGGGTGATTGATGATGAAGTGGTGAGTGACTGAGTATGATGATGATGATGGTGGTGGTGATGATGATGACCGATGGTGATGATGACCGATGGCGGGGTGAATGCGTGATGACGGGGTGAATGCGTGAGTGCGGCGGAGAGTGGGAGGGAGGTGAGGTTCCTGCGAGGAGGGTGTCCAGAGAAAACAAGAACCCCACTTGGATGTGGGGAAAAACATACGACCCTCCTTGTTTACATATTTGTCCTCGTAGCAGCTGCAACGACAATTACATGCTGGTACTCTGTGCGCCCCCACCCCCCCTGCCATGGCAAGCGCCGTAAGACCAGAGACCGCAGCGAGCGCAGCCCAACCATCAGAGGGCAGGCACCCCGCTGCTGCAGCTGCAACGCCGTTGCCCATACCAGTGTTGCCTTCGCGGTCAGAAGAGTAGGTAGGCGCATGAGTACGGATCAAGCAGCCCGAAGAGAAGGCGGACGACAAGCTCAAGAATACAGGAAGCTGCGTCAACAAAACTGAGTGCCCTGCCGCGCTGCACGGCTCCAGTGGAGGCGGCAAGACGGGGAGGGGATGGAAGAGGAGGGAGAGAGGAGGGAGTCCCTCATCCACAGCTCACAGTCCCTACGCGAGGGAGAACGTTGCGCGCACGGATCCAAAAAACAAACAGTTTACATACTTCTGCATGTGAAGAGGCACTGAGATGGCAGCCAGCGTTCTTCGTATGTATCCGAAGATGTGGTCGAGTGGACTTTGAAATGTGGCTTCTTCTCAATGCTCGGGCCCTGCTCGTCCAGCGACTATTGCCTTCTACGAATTCAACCTCCCCCTCCGCACTCCCCACCACCGCAGAGACTGTTCCAAAGGCTCGCGCAGACCTCCGCTGCAACTGTTCCTTCTTCGGCATTCTCCCTCTCCGCCCGGGCACCGCCAGTAAGGTGGCCCCCGAGGAGCACCCCATCACGAGGCCAAGGAGGGCGGAAGGCCCCCGGAAGGCTCCAGAGCGGCGCGGGAAATTGGATCCCCCCCCCTGGCAGCCTCAACTCTGGCAACCTCCGCCATCGCCGCTGTTGGGAAAACCAATAGACATGAGACCACTGGTACTCTGCGGCGATAACCCATGTTATCTGCTGGAGGGGGGGAGGGCCCGACGATAACACCAGCCCCACGTATGCCCGCGCGCTCCAATACTGCGTACCCCCTTCGGACCTGCGCAACCTTCAAGGTCAGGTTATCCGAGAAGGAGGGGGGGGGCGGGCCCGACAACCCGATCGCCAGGCCCAATGAATCAGTCTGCACGGAAATCGCTACTCCCTGGATCGCTCCTGCGGTGTGTTCTGGTCAGAATTTCGAGGCGAACCCGGCCGCGGCGACGAGAGCCTCCCAGAAGGCCAAAGAGGGCGAAAGCGAGGCAAGGGCAGCGAAGAGCCTTCCAAGAATTCCGCTGTAGTGACTGTTGCACAACATGGACCCCGGGATGTCTGGACCCTTCCCCCGAGACGGGCGTTGCATCCAATCGTTGTTTGACGGTCCCAGACTGCAAAAACCGTCCGTCGCGATTTGGTTCACTCGACGAGAGGAGGTGGGTATCAGTGCCATTTTCTCCTCTTGAACCTGGCAACCTCCGACCTCGTCGTCGTGGTCGTCTTCGTCGCTCTCCGGAGCAAGATCAGTCAGCATCGAACCGGATATCCAGATCGAACCGAAATGTGCGCCCGCATCGGCATGGAATCGGAATCGAATCGGATCGGCTGCGCCAAGACGCACAACAACGCGACGCAGGCCTCGGGCCGCATCGGTACGTCGGAATATCAGAATGTCATCGGATCGGGCCGTCCAGAACCGACATCGAGTCGGATCGATCGGATCGAGATGGACCCTGCGGGCTCAGGGGGAGACTCGGTGGCGAGGCCAGGGTGAAGTGAGAGGGGGCTAGCCTTCTCAGAAGGCGGTGGGGGCTTCTCAGAAGACCTCGCGCCTTCTGCGAAATTCCTGAGCCTTCTCCGAAGACACGAGAAACTTCTCGGAAGGCCAGAGGGCTTCTGCCAATCAACACGTCGCCAGGCAAACCAGGAGCCTCACATGAGCCGACCTGCGATAGGCAACCTCCTTCAGTGAACCTTGACCTGAGGGAAAAAGCGAGCTCGCCGCATGCGAACATCCTCCGTAGGCGAACCATACCGCATACACACAGCACGACGAGAGAAGGCGAAGGCAATGACGCGAAACAATGGCGCAACAGATCCGTGCGGGAGCGCGCGGCTTATGAGGACCTGGCCCGTGGCCGAGGAGACCGCTAATCACGGCATGGAGCGCGCGATGGCGGAGAGGGGCGGGGGGGGGTCATCATATCGAAGGCGAGGGAGGCCGAGAGGGAGGGCGAGAAAGAGAGAGGGAGCTCCTGAGACCTCTCACTCCCCCCCCCCCTGGCGCGCCGCCGAGAGAGGCGCTCGCTCGGCCAGGGCGGGCCTCCCAGCGCCCGCTGCTGCGCAACACGCACGGACCTGGGCGCTTCGGCGTACAGCCTGCTGGCGCCCGTGTCGCTCACGGAATCGACGCCGCCCTGGTCGCCCTCGCAGCCTGCGCAACACGGCGGGCATGGGACGCATGCAGTCGGTTCGTGCCACGTCGCCGCGCACAAAGGTGTTCGGCACCGCGTCGAGCGTTCAACCTTGAATCGGTCGCGGCCCCGATCGTTCCGTGTTGCAAGACCGTTCCCATTGGTGCTTCTGCGTCGTTCTATCATGCGGAATTCAACCTTGAACGCTTTCGCTGGCATCGACGGCGCGTCATCGCAGCATGGACCTACCGTAAGGACATACGAACGCTCTGAGAAGACAGAGCCACGGTGTCAACCAAAACGCTTCGCTGCCGTGCGGCTGTCAGAGCCTCGCAGCCCCACCACGCCTGACATCCAACAATTCCTGTGGCCTCTGCGCATCGTTTCTTAAGGACACCCCGCCCTGCAAAATTCATTTCGGGAACCCCCCTTCCACGGCCGCACCACGCCTGACATCCCCAGCCTCCTGGACCCCTGCGCATCGTTTCTCAAGGACCCCGCACCCTGCAAAATCCGCCCCAGGACCCCCCCCAACTACGCCTGACATTTTCAACCTCCTGGACCCCTGCGCATCGTTTCTTAAGGAGCCCCCACCCTGCAGAAGCCGCCACTCTCGCAGAAGCGGGCGTCAGACTCCGCTGCGCACTTCCGAGTAACCGAGAGCACGAAAGCATGCGGCTGGCTAATGTGGTGCCTCGGGGCAGGCGAAAAGTTGGACGCAAAAGGTCATACTAATATCACACGTTTCCTTTGGAGACTAACGTCCGACCAGAACATATAGCGAAAACTTATCATAGCATGTTGGTGTCCAAGCGGTATGCCCAGAAAGCACCGGCCACAGAGACACTGCACTGCAAGATCTGTCAAGGTGCGCGTCGCCGCTGCGGGACGAACCATCGCGCGCGCTTCGCGCGCGCTCAAGGTCTACGTGCCGTGGGGCCAAGCATGTAGCGCGCCTGTGGGGCCGTGTTCAGATGATCGGGTCCTTGACTCGGAAGCCCACGCATTGGCGTCCGAGGTCGCACTGATGCTCGGTATTCGCAGCAGTCCTGGGCCATCCTTGGGCAATCTTGCAACTCTCATCGGGACCATTTTGGCCTCCGAAGCCATCTTGGGACCGTCGTGGGGCCCTCGTTGAACTTCTGCACAGTTCGGGTGGGCCTCCTCAGGGATCCCAGGGAGGCACCGGGGGCGATTCGATGGAGCTACATGGGGGTCCTCCTGGTGGTGTGGCCCCTCATCCCCGCTCGAGACACCCCTATTCCCCAAATCGGGGAGGCATCGTGGACCCCACGCTGGACGCGCCCCCCCCCCCCCCCCGCACTGCTTTCCGCTTCGATTGCAAACTTATAATCATCGGTGTAACCCACACAACGAACGCTTATAAACAACGCAGTGAGTGTTACAACCGTCACAATTGCTGCGCCCACACATATAGCTCATACGGCTGAATACAATTGATTAAGCATTGGCTCTGAGTTTATAGTCGCACATATCAAACGAGCTTCTGGAACCAATGCACGCGTGAAAAGCAAGAAGTTCGCGTAAGGTGTGGTTGTACGTTGCTTACGACAGTGATATGTAAAGTTATGTGTTGGTTGGGTTGTGGTTATGATTTTGAATGTGTTTGGATATGATTGGCCTCGCAGACGGGTGCGAATGCGGCCTCGCGCGCATCACGCCGCGCGCGGGGGCAGGGAGGGAGCCTCCTCTTCAAGTTCCCGACCGACCAGGACGGACCAACCGGCCCCCAAGATCGCTCCGCCCTAAGAATGCTCAGGGCTCGTGCATATCCTGGTCCACTTGCTCCTCCTGTTCCTGCTGCTACTGCTACCGCTCAGAGGCAGCAGCAGGAATAGGAGGAACGCGAGGGCCCCCCAGCAGCAGCTGCTGTGTAGCTCTCGCGTTTTATGTGATGAGGTTATCCCTCGATATCGCGATGAGGAGGAGGAGGATAGGAGGAAGAGGAGGAGGAAGAGGAGGAGGAGGAGGAGGAGGAGAAGGAGAAGAGGGGGCGAGGGAGAGGGGAGCGCGAGGGAGGGAGCGGATATGAAGGAGGAAAGATGGGGAGAAGGATGAGGACAGGGAGGAGGAGAAGGGGGAATGATGGGAAAGGTGGAGAGTAGATCAGGAGAAGGGGGAGGAGGAACAGGAGCAGGAGGCAGAGGAGGAGGAGGACGAGGGGGATGATGATGATGATGATGATGATGATGATGATGATGATGATGATGATGATGATGATGATGATGATGATGATGATGATGATGATGATGATGATGATGATGATGATGATGATGATGATGATGATGATGATGATGATGATGATGGTGGTGGTGGTGGTGGTGGTGGTGGTGGTGGTGGTGATGGCGGAGGTCATGACGATGTGCATGTGGAGGAGGATGAAGAGGAACATGATGGCGATGATGGTCCGGCTGATTCGGAGGAGGCCGATGGCAACGAGTGCGAGGCGCCAGGGCGACGCGCCCCGCAAGGAAGAGCCAGGAAGGATTGAGCTCAATTCAGCGGGGGGGGCAGTGCAAGTCAATACGTCTGGCGTGGAAGCTCAGGCCTTTTCGATTCCAGCCGTGCTTGAGGACGGGCCCCAGACAGAGGACCCTCGCAGCCATGTTCGGAACGCCCTGGGGGCCCCGACCCCCGTCAGGCGCCCGGGCCGAGGCTGCCGCGGCACCGCTGGCCGACGAGGACGGCAGCGATCTCCGTGAGCCGGACAAGCTGATGGCGAAGCTCCTTTTACAGCACGAAGATCACATCAGGGGGGACATCCACGAGAACGTGGTGGTGACAGTGACGAGGGACAGCGCGTTCGCACGCAGCCTAGACGGAGCGGTGGACGAGTGCGCGTCCAAGGGGAAGGTGGCCCGGGAGCAGGCCAAGGAGCAGGAGCAGCAGTTCAAGGGCAATCCCTTGGGCAAGAAACCCGATGCTCATCTCCAGTCGCTCATCCACTTCGTGAGTGCGGTGTGCCAGAAGAACAAGGAGGAGGTTCTCGCGGCAGCCGCTCAGGGCATCGAGCGGAAGAGGCACGCCAGGCCCTCGACGCGCTCGGCCGCTTCGCCCAGGCGGCGACAAACATGGAGGTGCGCGTCCCAGCCATCAGGTGCTTCCGCATCGAGACCAAGGAGAACGACAAGGAGATTCACAAGTGGATCTTCGCGACCAACAGCATGCAGGAGCTCATGACCAGCTTCTTCGTGCTACGGGAGAACGGTTGCATGAAGGCGGCCAGCCTCTCTCTGGACTACGACCCCGCTCCGCGGGCGAAAACCGCCAAAAAGATCGAGGCGATAGTCTTCCGCGGAGGTTCGTCCGGCCAAGGGTCGAGTAAGAAGCCCAAGAAGAAGTGAGCAGGTAGTTCCATCATGGAGCAGAGTTGGGGCCATGGCGGCACAGGAGCAAGGGTGGGGAGCCTTGCCGGTGACGGGGATGCAGCTGACAGCCAGCGCGGAGTTTTTTCCGTGCAGTCTTTCCTCCTCAGCCTCCCCTCCCCTCGGAGCAAGAATAGGTGGCTTCTGTCGTAATGGATGCCGTCAGCAGGAAAAAATAGCAGATCCTGTCGTAACGGCGGCCGTGGCTTTGTGAAATGCGACCGAAGTGTCGCAACGCTGAGCTGTTGGTAAGAATGAGCGGATTTTGTCGTAACGGCGGCCGTGGCTTTGTGCAATGCGGCCGAAGTGTCGTAACGCGGAGCGTGTCGTAGCACTCCTCCTCCTCCTCCTCGTATTCCTCCTTGGCTGTTGCATTCACCGGCGTCGCTACCAGGCTGGAGTCCATGGTAGCTTTTTTTCGATTCCTGAGCGCAGCCGTGCACCGCCGTAGGGGTGGCGGTGGCACGTCGCTGCCGACTGCGTCCCTGCAGAGGCGGGACGAGCGGACAGCGTGCCCACGTAGGTGCGTCTGCTCTGCTTTCCTCGCCTTTTCGGGCCTCGGGGTCTCGTCCAAGAGAGACCACACGCCGCGTTTGCGGTTGAAACTTCTGAACCGAGCTAGACTTCCGAGCTGATGGGGAGTAGCGATGGGAAAAAAAAAACGAGTGCGAGGAGGAGGTGAAGGAATAGGAGGAGGTGAATGGGGGAGGAGGAGGAAGAGGAGGAGGAGGAGGAGGGTGTGAGGACGCTTTTGTTTGGTGGGGGGGCTCGGATACCATTTAGCTGAATGGCATTCTGAAGTAATTGAGGGTCCCCTCCCGTCCCTACTGCTCATCACCCTCGTACTCCCCCCCCGTCCAACTCCCCCTCCCCCCTTTCCTCCTCCCTCTCGCCTCCTCCTCCTCCTCCTCCTCCTCCCCCTCCTCCTCCTCTTCCTCTCCTTCACTCCCTAGTCGTCTCACTTCTCCTCCTCCTCCGCCTCCTCCTCCTCCTCCTCCTCTGCATACTCGCCCTCCCCCTTCTCCTCCTCTCCCCCTCTCCCTCCTACTCCTCCTCCCCCTCCTTCTTCTTCTCCGCTTTCTCCTCCGGTCCTTCCGTTCAGAAGTGCCCGTGGAGCTCGGTCAGAGCAATGTACATCAACAATTTCAGTGTTGTTAGCCGGCGTAGTGGGACAGGGCGCGAGGTGTGGGCCAAAACAGCCCAGTGAGGGAAGCAGCCAAACTGAGCGCTTCCCTCACTTGCCTAGTGAGGGAAGAAACCAAACTGAGCGCTTCTCCCATTGGCCAAGTGAGGGAAGAAGACAATCTAGCGCTTCCCTCATCGGGCCAGTGAGGGAAACAGCCAAAATTGAGCGCTTCCTTTATCGGGGCAGTGAGGGAAGCAGCCATATTGAGCGGTTCCCTCATTGGGCCTAGGAGGGAAGCAGCGAATTTCATTGAGTCCCTCACTCTGCCAGTGAGGGAAGCAGCGAATGAATTCAACGTTTCCCTCATCAACGGTTTCGCAAGGTTTCTGATACGGCCGCTACTGTTGGCTGTTTGCTGGCCGCGCCATGCGCATGCTCAGGGCCCCCTTCCTACTCCTCCTGCTCCTCCTGCTGCTGGGGGGCTCTCGCGTTCCCTATCCTATTATGT